CTACTTGTTGGCTTGTTGACTGGATCTGCTGCTGGAGATTTGCAGGGGACTTTGGTGGCTTTGTCATCAGCCATAGGGTCCTGGGTGTGCTCTGGGGTTTGGAAGAGCTCTCTGAGGCCAGCCAGGTCTTCTAAGGACTGGACATTTTTCTTGGGTATTCTTGACTGCTTCTTGCTTCCAGTTACATTTTCCGCAGACTCCAGTGTCTGCTTTGCAGTTTTATTCAACGATTTGATATTTTCATCAGCACCTCCTGATTCTCTGTGTGAGTGTGCGTTTCCTCCCCGTGTTCGGGTGGACTTCCCGAGAGCGGAGGGCTCTTCCTTTATGTCCGCTTGCTGGGGAGAGGTCTTGAGTCGCCTCCTTCTACTTGTTGGCTTGTTGACTGGATCTGCTGCTGGAGATTTGCAGGGGACTGTTGTGGTTTTGTCATCAGTCACTGGGTCTGGGGTATGCTCTGGGGTTTGGAACAGCTCTTTGAGACCAACCAGATCTTCTAGGGAATGGACCATTTTCTTGGGTGCTCTTGACTGCCTCTTGCTTCCAGTTACATTTTCTGCAGAATCCAGTTTCTGCTTTGGGGTTTCCTTGAACAATCTGATGGCTGCATCAGCACCTCCTGGTTCTCTCTCTGTGTGTGTGGCTTCCCCTGGCATTTGGATGGGCTCTGTGAGAGGTGAGAGCTCCTTCGCTACGTCTACCTTCCCCGGAGGTATCTTCAGACGTCTCTTCATGTGGGTTGGTGTGGTGACTGTTTCTGCTAGTGGAGATCTGCCAGGCATTATTGCGGTTTTGACAATAGCTGCTGGTTCCTTGGTGTGCTCTGGGGTTTGGAAGAGCTCTTTAAAACCGACCATGTCTTCTAGGAATTGGGCCTTTTCTTTCCCTCTTCTTTTCCGCTTCTTGCTTCCGGTTAGATTTTCTACACAGTCTAGCTTCTTCTCTGGAGTTTCCTTAGACAATTTGATGTCTTCATCACCACTACCTGGTTCTGTGTACCAGAGCATGGTTTTCTTTGGTGTTCGGGTGGGCTTCCCTAGAGCTAAGGGCTCTTCCTCTATGTCCACTTTCTGGAGAGGGGTCTCGAGCTGCCTCTTTCTACTTGTTGGTGTGTTGACCGGTTCCGCTAGTGGAGATTTGCAGGGGACTTTGGTGGTTATGCCGTCCGTCCTTGGTTGATCTGTGTGGTTTGGTGTTTGGAAGAGCTCTCTGAGGCCAGCCAGGTCTTCTAAGGACTGGGCATTTCTCTTGGGTGTTCCTGACCGCTTCTTGCTTCCAGCTACATTTTCTGCAGAGTCCAGCGTCTGCTTTGGAGTTCTGTGGAACAATCTGATGTCTTTATCACCGCCTGCTGGTTCTCTGTGTGAGTGTGTGCTTTCCCCTGGAGTTGGAGTGGGCTTCCTGAGATCCTTCTCTAGGTCCACTTTCTGGAGAGGGG